ACATGATAAACCAAAAAATAGGCCATATGTGTAGTATGATCTCATATTTTGTAAATAAATTATATGTTGTGTGAGTGTACAGTGTGATCTCTCCTGATTGGCATCCAACCACTTAGCTGACTTCCCAATGAGTCAACCCTCCCCTTCCACCTGAACACCCCTAAGGCTGACACTCCGATTTACCAAAGGTTCTAGAAGGAAGAGGAAGGCTGTTCCTTTTTAGCTCCTATGTTTCCACCTACCAGATAGCTCACATGATTAGCAGGTACCAACTTTATGGTTCTCTAGCCTCTTTATTTTAATGTCTTTGTTACTGTCATTTCATAGTTAAGTATTATGGAAACTGAAAAAAATGAGTGAAAACAGGAAAAAAAAAAGCTACTTTTAAAAACTAAGTTGAATGCTTCGAAGTAGTAACATAGTAGTAACGTAGTTACAATAGATGGGGGTGGGATTCGTAAAAATTCAAGATTCTGCTCTTGGAATGCTTTCTTCTTCAAAGAAGCCAAAACAAGAACTTTGAGGCCAACTATGATGGCATCTAGGTAAGAAAGACAAAGGTGAACTCTCTTCAGCAGAGCGATAGTAACATAAAAGACTATCTTAAAATACTGATACATTTTGGGGGACTGGGATGGCTCAGTCAGTTGAGTGTTTGACTCTTGATTTTGGCTCAGGTCATGATCTCAGGGTCATGGGATCAAGTGCACATCAACCTCCACAGTGAGCATGGAGTCTGCTTAACATTCTCTCCTCTCTTCCTCTGCCCCACTCCCCTGCTCTCTGTCTCTCTCTCAAAAAAAAAAAAAATTTAAGTTAAAAGGTTTGAAGTATGTATATATTTTATGGCTATGATCATTCGTTATTTCAACTAACTTTTTTGCTTAAGCCACTAAGCACAGTCCCAGTAATATCAGATAAAAAGCCCTCTGCTACATAGGTCTAGAAAAAGGAAGGGTATAATGACGTATCTGGAAGATTTATAGTGAGATTATGGTCATTTTTACTCCCTGTGCCTTTCTACGCTCTTAAAAGTAAAGTGTCTATTGTTTTACAAATAGAAAAATACCATAAAGTCATCACTTATTTGGAGAAAGGAAAAGAGAAAGAGAAACTTCAGGATGAGGGAACAATGCTGATGCTTGCAGGGTGCCCGGAGGAGACCTTGTCTGTCTTCCTCTAATGACTGGAGCTGGTAGAATTAGTCTGTTACAAAGCATAATGGTGATCATGAGTTTGACTTCCCGGTTTCACCCTATCCTGAGGGTCAGGCTGACATTAGCATTCAGAGATCCCGTTACACTTAATTGCCGTGGCAAGGGGGCACAGGGACTCGGGCAGAGCAGGTCTGGGGAGGAGGGATGGACACTCCCAGGTGACACAGCGGAGGGGCCCTGAATAAGCCAGATCAAAAACAGGGTGCAAAGCAGAGAGCAACAGTTCTGAGCACCTCAGGTTGCTGTCATTCACAGAGGTTACCATAAGTTGCTAAAGGTCATCAGCCTTGCACAAAGATGGGCTCAACTTCCTTATGTAAAAAAGAAAAACCTACATTCTATATTTATTTTGTTATATTTATATTTATTTTGTTATAAATATAATGTTCCTTCCATGGAAACTTTTAAATAATTCTTCGTTCTTGTTAAATAATCCTTCATTCTTGACTTACAGAAATATTTGTTGAAAACTGACTTCTGACTATAATAATGTTAAAAAGAAAATCATAGGCCCAAAATGGTGTTACTTAGGCCAAGTTACCAAGCCAAGGCTTAATGCCTAAATTAATTGCACTTTTAACCTTCCCCAGAAATGTCATCTCTACTGGTCAGTCAGGAATTCTCTGGCCACCACCAACAAGGTAGTCTGTCATTGAGACCTCTCTATCCCCAAAAGGAAGACCTACGAAGACCCTTTTGTCCCCAGATGAAGGTGACCTCACCTGAAATACTCCTTTTTCTGTTTATGACTTCCTTGTCCTACTTTTAAAAACCTTTCCCTTTCTGAAGCCCTTTGGAGCTCCCCTCTACTTACTGCATGGGATGCTTCCCAATTCATGAATTGTCTAATAAAGCCAATTAGATCTTCAACTTTACTCGGTTGAATTTTGTTCTTTTAGCAACAACTGATCTTAAAATTATAATACAGTTGTTCAAGTCCTGCATTTAAAAATGACAACCAAGGGGCACCTGGGTGGCTCAGTCGGCTAAGCGTCTGACTTCGGCTCAGGTCATGATCTCACAGTTCGTGGGTTCAAGCCCCACGTCGGGCTCTGTGCTGACAGCTAGCTCAGAGCCTGGAGCCTGCTTCCAATTCTGTGTCTCCCTCTCTGACCCTCCCTTGCTCATGCTGCCTCTCTCTCTCTCTCAGAAATAAATTTTAAAAAATTAAAAAATAAAATAAAACCAAAAAACGACAACCAGACAGAAACAAAAATTTGTTGTCATTTCAACGCCTTTGCATGATACACTCTGCTCCAGCGCTGGAGAGGCTGGGACCACGGGACAGACAAGAAAAGCTGACAGGTTTGCTGTCCTGCCCTTGGCAATAGGATTCCTAATTGTGCAAGGACATTCTGGGGAGATGGAATTTAGCAGCACCACAAAGAGATAAGATTCAGGGCTCTTCTTGGAATGGAGGGTCAAGGCGGGGGTCATGCCTGAAAGCAAATCAGAGGTGTCATTGCTTTCAGTCTAGCTGTGACTGACAGGGACATGCAGAGGAGCAGAGGTGCGGCTGCGTAACACCTGACCTTCCAGTCGGCCGTCAGGAGGAGCGGCAGGCATCTCTCAGTGTGGGTTTAGAGCCCCGACTGCAATCCCATCCCAGACACTATCTAGTGAGTTAACTCCACTAATGCAGAGCAACGGGCTTTGGAACCAGTCAGACCGGAATTCACATCCTGGCTCTACCACCTATGAGTTCTTGAACACAGATGTTTAAACCGATTCAAAATAGAGGGCATGCTGGAGGGCACTTGTGCTACAATTCTGTCAATACATGTGTCCATCTGTCATTCTATGTAACTGATACATCCCAGCAGAGCAAGTGCTGGGCTAAATGCGTGACACACCCCCGTCTCTCTCCTATTCACACACGAAGTCAACGTAACCCATAAACTTCAAATGGAAGAAGCATCACTTTTTAAATTTATCTAAATCAGCTCAAATCTTGCTCAGCTCCCACCTGCCTGGTTGGCAGTCAGGAGATATAATCTTGGTCATTCGGAAGGTCGTGCCCCGTCACTTGTGATTGTGCTTGAGTTTTGACCTTGCTCTGTCCAGGAGTGCAGAGGAGGTACCTAGAGTCTCACCTGGCCTCTCAGACACTAGCGGTCAAGCTACTGTGTGAGCGATCCGTTTCAGGGCCGTGACTCCACTGGTGACACCCATGCCATCTCAGGCACACTTGGCCACCGGCCTTCATTGTGGCTCCAACGGCATAGTGCTCTGTGCTTAGTACCCATGCGGCCCCACAGCCCTCCTCACCTCTCAGAAATCCCGCTACCCCCAGGGAGGTGGGAAGAGGGGGTTCCTTATCTCACCGTATCATCCAGTTCCTCCAGGCTCGGCCACACTCCTCTTACTTTTGCTCCCGCAAAGCCTCTGGCCCCTCTCTTAGGGACCCATCTACCTTCCCCCTACATCTTGGAGCTGAAACAGAAAACCCATCACCTTCCCACAACCATCCAGGTTAAAGGGGCCCAGATTTGAGAACAGAACACCTGAGGGAAATTCCTGGGAGGAGAAAGGGAAACTTGCCTTTCCTGTCTTTATTTTTTTAACTCCCCTTCTTTCTCTGTTTTTGCTATTGAGTCCATAATAACAAAAAAGATGACATAGATTAATTTCTCCATAATTCAATGTCTTTTCATAATGAAACCCTGTAGCAAACCCTCTAATAGAGTAAAAACACTCTCTAGAGTTTTGATTAATAATCACTTTGCAATATAATTGCTTTGCAGGGTTTTTTTTTTCAGTAAATGACAAAAGCAATAAAGAAACACACGATGACCACATGGTACTTAAGAAATTTTGGAGGCAGCATTGGCTTTGAGGTCAAGGGCCATAGATTCAACCCCAAATTCCATCACTTACCCGTATGTGATCTTGGGCAAGTCACTTAATCTTCCCGAGCTAGACTATAAATATCAAAAAGGCAATAACCATTTGTTTACTTCTCTATTGGTATACAGAATGCATCAAATAAATGAACAAGCTGACTTCACAAGCTAGATGTTTAGTAAGTATGAGATTCCTTTGCCTCTTCCTTCCCAGTCCATTTTTCATCCTTTTCATTTTGAAATAGCTGTAGACTCACAAGAAGTTGCAAAAATAGTATAAAGAGGTTTCATGTACCTGTCACCCACCTGTCTGCCATGGTGACTTTTTACATGTCTGTAATGCATTATCAATTGATTGGTGCAATAGCTTCACCAAATTCAACCTTTTTCTGGTGGGTCTTTGTGGTTGTGTAGTTTGTATAACAACCAAGGCACAGAACTGCCCATCACCACAAAGCAGGGGTTCAGTGCTTCCCCTTTACAGTCAAACCTCTCCTTCCCTGCCCCTCCCAAGCCCCTGGCAATCACTTCTCTCTTCTTCGTCCCTGTAATTTTGTCAATTGGAGAAACGTTTCATAAATGAAGCTATATAATATCTCACCTTTTAAGATTGGCTCTTTTCACTCGGCATAATACCCTGAAGAGACACCTGGGTGGTTACATGTGTTGAGAATCGCTTCCTTTTTCAATCAGGGGAGAGTTCCATGGCGTAGACATGCACAGATTGTTCAGCCTTCACTCATCGAAGGACATCCAGATTGTTTCCAGTTTGGGGCTACTACAGATAAAGCCACTCTGGACATTTGTGGATAAGACATTGTGTGTGAACGTGTTCTGCAAATATTCTATGTGGAATGAGTTTGCGTGGGGAAAAGTGCAATATGAACGTTTTGTGTGAACATAAGTTTTAATTTCTCTAAAATAAAGGCCCAGGATTGAGATTCATGGGTCCTAGAGCAAGTATATGTTAAACTTTCAAAGAAATTGCCAGATTTCCTGAGTGGCTTTACCATTCTCCATGACCACCAAGAATACTTGCAAGATCCAGTTTTTCCACATCCTTGCCAGCATTTGTTTTATTGGTATGTTTTTATTTTAGCCATTCTAATGAGTGCGTAGTGGTATCTCACTGTGGGTGCATGTTGGGGGGTGGGTCCTAAGTAGGATTCACGTCCAGCGTGGGGCCCATGTGGGCCTATCTAAGGACCCTGAGATCGAGAGTAGGACATCTAATAGACTGAGCCACCCGGGTGCTCCTCATTGTAGTTTTAACTTGATGCATTTCCTGAATAATCTGTGACGTTAAAATCTTTTCATGTGTTTATGAGCCATCTGTAGGTCTTCTTCAGTGACCGCCCAAGTCCTTTGGCTCATTTTCTAAATGGATTGTTTTCACTATTGAGCTCTGAAAGATCTTTATTCTGAAAACTAGTCTTTTGTCAGATCTACAATTTGCAAATATCTTCTCCGAGTTCACTTATCATCTCATCTGTTAACTAAGTCTTTCACAGAGCATCAGTCTTTCATTTTAATCAAGTCCAGTTAGTTTCTTCTTTGCTTTCATGGGTTTTGTTTTTGGTACCACATCTCAGCTCTTCTCCTATTGGCTGATGAAGGTTTTTCTCCTACGTTCTCTTCTAAGAGTGTTACAGTTTTACAGTTTACAATTAGATGTACGATCTACTCTGAGTTTATTGTTGTATGATGTGTGAGGTGTAGGCCCAGGTTCACTTTATTGGCTATTGATGTTCTATTTGCTTCTGCCAGGTGAACTAACAACACCAAGTTTTACAGGAGTCACAGAAGTAAGATGATGCCCAGAGAGGTGGGATATCTGAACACAATGCCTTGCAGGAAATTAATCACCCTCCCATGTGTGGCTGGGATGAGCTCAATGCTATGGAAACTGAACATTTCGCCATTGAGTCTTCTGAAACCATGTTGTGCAACCAAATACAGTTCATAATGGATCCCTGCGGAGAGTCCTGCTACACTTGGCCTCACAGCCTAGAGCTGACGTCTGTTTGAAGCAGGAAATAAACACTGGAAATTCCTGTCGCACATGATAACATATTCTATGTAAGAGCAGGAAAGGGTGTGTCTTATAGAAGTGTGGTCCCAGAGGTGAAAGAGCCCAAAGTAGGAAATTCCTCCTATAGCCTCTTGAAAAGGACAATTGTTCATTCAACAAATATAGATGAAGCAGCTACTATTTGTTAGGAACTTGTCAATAAAGATACAGAATGAACAAGTCATATATGGCCCCTGCCCTCTGGTGTGGGAGGGGAGTGGAGTGTAGGTAATTATATATACATGCATAATACTGTATGCTAAAAGCTAGTGACAGGATGCATAGGTAATATGTGGGAGGGACATCTAACCTAGACTTGGAGAGCCCAATGGTGCTTCCTGGAAAAGTGACATGGAAGTTGGGACCTAATAAGTGAATAGCAGGTGGAAAGGAATTGGTGGGGTGGGGGTGGTAGTAAGAAAGAAGAGTCTTCCAGGTGAAGGGGAACATCATGTGCAAAGGCCCAGCAGTGGGAGTGAGTGTGGTAGGGCACAGAGCTAATGCATCCGGTATTGCTGGTGTGTAAGGTGCCAGGTGAAAGGGTGAGGGAGACAGCTGCCCTGGTCAGACCATACAGGGCCTTGAAAGTCACAGTAAGGAATCCACCCATTTCATGAGGATACCAGCAATCCACAGGAAAGAGTGTAACAGGAGACTGATGGATGCACATTTGTATTTTAGAAGTCTTACTCTGGCAACATGGAGGCAGGCGGCTGGCTGGGGCAATTTTTAGGAAACTGTTGTAAGAGATAAGACCAGAACATGGTTGGTGGAGAATGTTCGATGCATTTACATCAGAGTAGGATCTGAGGCGTAAGGACTGAAGATGAGGTTTCAAAGATCACTCTGAGATGTGAGGGGAAAGAGTTGTAGGGAGAAGCACAAGAAGTAAGTGGCTGAGTTGAGGACAGGTTGAGGAGGGACCTTTGTGTGGACACTCCCAGCCAGGAAAGCCAACTAGTATTCCCTCTGCCTTGAGACCCTCCCATACTTGACAGTCCTGCTTGAGCAGAACGCTGCTTCCCTCTAACTTTTCAGTCCATGTCCAACTTCAGCCCTGAGGGGCCACACAGAATGAATCCATCTCCGAGAATCCATGGCAGCCCTTTAACCATTGCATTTATTTATTTATTTATTTATTTTTTATTTATTTATTTATTTATTTTTATTTAGAGTGCAGGGGAGAAGCAGAGAGAGAGAATCCCAAGCAGGCTCCACCCTGTCAATGCAGAGCCCAATTCAGGTGATCTTACAAACTGTGAGATCAGGACCTGAGCCGAAATCAAGAATCAGATACTTAACTGACTGAGCCACCAAGTGCCCTGCTTTATTTATTTATTTCTGAGAGAGAGAGAGAGAGAGAGAGAGAGAGCGCATGCCAGCGGTGGGGTGGGACAAAGAGAGAGGAGGGAGAGAGAGAATCCCACACAGAGTGGAGGCTGGGGAGAGCACCCATCTCACAAACCGGGAGGTCATGGACCTGACCTGAAATTAAGAGTGAGACTCTTAATGGAAGGAGACGCCCAGGCACCCCTTCTCAAGGCTTTCTTTTCTCCCACTTCCTCATGCCTGGTTCCTACAACCACTTCCCATTTGGCACATGTTCTCAACCCCTCCTCTTCCCAGCAATCCTTCTACTTCCCACCTTTTATTTAATCGTGTTGTGCCCAGACAGTATAGAGTCTGATCAGCCAGAAAACGTCAGCATCGCCTTCTGGAGCCTGGACATTCTACTCCTGACATCCCTACACACTTCTGTCCTTGTTGAGAACGTTGCCTCCCTTCCTTGAACATTTGAGCCACTATCGCCCAGTGAGATCTGTGGTCACCCTAAGCACTGGGTCAGGCCTGGGCCCAGAGCCTCAGCTGGGGAAACAGTTTAATGAGACCTTGACTGGCAAACCTGCAACAGCAGGCAAACTGAGTCTGGGAGCACATGACCCAGCCTCACCTGGAAATGGATTTCCTGTCTTTTCTCCTCTCTTGAGAATCAAGGCACCAGCAACAATTCACTGACCACTGTTGGGTGTGTGGCGTGGTGAGGAAGACAGATGTGGGACACCGGCTCTGTCTTCACAAACCATGCAGCTTTGTTGGGACAGAGGATATAGAATGGGCAGTTAGAGAAGACTTCGACAGAGGAGATGGGGCCACAGCTAGGCCTTGAAGGATGGGAGAAAAAAATCAGCAGATGAGAAGAATAAGGCAGTGCACTAGAATGGAAAAGGAGAAATGTAGAGGCCAAAGTGTCTAAGGTGGACCTGGGGGAAGAAAAGCAGATACTGTGGGCTGAGCAGAGACTCTGTATACGTGAGCATTGAGAGAAAATGCTGCAAAGGGAAGTTGGAGCCATGTTGGGATGCCGGCTATAGAGAACTGGGCTCTCCTCTGTTCAGAGAGATGCCAAGGGCTCTCAAACCAGATAAGGAAATGACCGAAGTGGTTGGTACTTTGGTTTCTGACCTGGCAAAGTTTGACAGATGAATCCACACTCTGCCGTGACCCAGGAAGACAGAGCTTCATGATGTCTAGGGAGGATGAAACCCTTCTGGGAAGTGGTCCACGGAATGCAGAGAAGCACCTAGTGGGCCTAGTTTTAGCTGACCTGCGGGCAAGCTTTCCAATGGTTCTTCCTAGGGAGTAAAGAAAGAGATATGAGACCCATATGTGGGACTCCATTGCTTACACTATTAAGAAATTCAAGATGGCAACATTAAACTAAACGTGGGGCCCTTCTAAGCACAGAGTCCTGTGCAACTTTGAAGGTTGGATGCCCGTGATGCTCTCTCTATCTGAAGATAATGATGGGGGCAGCTTCTTACCCAAATGCATGCAGTGGGCTTGCAAGGAGTTCTCACATTCAGAAGGCCCACAGCCAGTCATTTCCCTCTCTTTCCTGGGCAGGCAATAGCCTAGCATTCTAGGTCTGGCAGTCAGCTTATGGCTGTTAGCTTCATGAAGAGAACAATAGGTGAAGGACAGGAACTCTGAGTTCCAGTTTTGGTTTTACTTCAGAATTGATCTGAGTCAGTTCTGGACCTTAGTTTTGTAGCTCATATTAAGTGTTCAGTAAGTATTGTTTTTCTTCCTTTCCACAAAGAAACTCCAATTCTGGGATCCCTACCATATAACCTCTTGCTGGAGTGTTTGAAAGAAGATACAGGTTCCAACAGATACAGGTCTTCAGTTGCAGGAAAATCTCAGTGAAATGCATTGTGGAACAAACTCCAAATACTTTCTGTATTCAAACACCTTCCTCCCTCACCAGAAAAGTCACCTTTGGCCATTCGCGGACAAGGATATATTTTCAAGGACTTCAGTTCTACTCTTAGCTATTCTGCCAGCTCTCTGTAGAACCACAGGCAACTGATTTCCTCTCCCAATGTCTCAGTTTCCCCTTCTGTAAAATGTAAGAATTGACAAGGTAATCTCCAAGGTCCTTTTCTGCGCTCAGTGCTTCATTTCCTCGAATCTGTGAAGTAACTGGTCCAGCATTTGTCATCACCTGGTGTGGAGATGAATTTACCTGAATATACAAAGGATATTTAAAACTTTAAGGTTAAAAAAAAAAAAAAAACCACCAGAGATCATAATTAAGATGTCATTGGTGACCTCTGAAAGAAGTCAGGCTGCCAAAAGTTAAGGCGTGGGTGGTTCATGAAGTGTGGACAGCAAACGTCAATGAGTCAAGAAATTTGATGGAAGACCAGAGAAAGATAAGAAGGTCTTAAGGCATCTGGCAACACTAAAAGAAGTATAGTTGCTTGTTTATTAGTTTTTTTACTTTAAGAGGAGACCCAAGATATTTGTTAACCAAGAGGAAGGAGTGGGAGAGAAAGAGACTGAAGATTTTAGAGATGGGTAGAGGAGGCCATTG